GCTGGGTAGGCCGGTGCGGGGCATGCGTCAGGACGTGCTGGGTAGGCCGGGCCGGCCGGTGCGGGGCATGCGTCAGGACGTGCTGGGTAGGCCGGGCAGGCCGGTGCGGGAAACGCGGTGGACGCTCACCGCACCCAGGATTAGCCCGACCAATGCAGGGGGCCTAGTCCAGCATGACAGATGCTTGGTTACCCAAGCACCCTGCACGTCCACCCACCCGACTATGTGTCCACCCACCCACCTGCCCACCCACCTGTCTCCCCATCCACCACACACCTGTCCGTCCACCCACCCACCTGTCCACCTGTCCACCCACCCACCTGTCTCCCCATCCACCACACACCTGTCCGTCTACCCACCCACCTGTCCACCTGTCCACCCACCCACCTGTCTCCCCATCCACCACACACCTGTCCGTCCACCCATGTGTCCACCCACCCAACTACGTGTCCACCCACCGACCCAACTATGTGTCCATCCACCCACCCAACTAGGTGTCCCTCCACTCACCTATCTGTCCACCTATCCACCCACCTGTCCACCTGTCCATCCATCCACCTACCTGTCCACCCACATACCTGTCCACCTGTTCACCCACCCACCTGTCTATCTACCCACGTACTTGCCCACCCACATACCTGTCCACCCATACACCCAACTGTCCACCCACCCACCTACCCACCTTTCCACCTGTCCATCCATTCACCTACCTGTCCACCCACCTGGACATTTATCCTTCTATCCATCGATCAATCCACCCCTTTATCTGTCCACCTACCCACCCACCCACCTGCCCACCCACCCACCTGCCCATCTACCACCTGTCCTCCCATCCAACCCCCATTCACCACCCATCCATCTCCCTGCCCGCCCTCCTGGAGACCGCTGGCCGTGTCTCTTCCCATGTGGGGAGCAGGTGCAGGGTGTCGCTCTGTACCCCACAAGGCCCCACTCCACCCCTGGAGCTCACCCACCCCTGCAGCCCTGGGGCGCGACCCACACCCCCGCCATCCGCAGGGAACGTGAGCTGGCTGGCGTGCCGGGCGCTCTCGGGGGGTGCAGAGGCGCTGCTGGACGACTTGGACCTCTGCACCCAGCACCTCCGCTGCCCCGAGCTCGGCCTGATCCGCGAGGCCGTGCGGCTGAGCCGCCCCGCGCTGGAGCTCCCAGGCACCGGTGAGCTCCTGCGGCCCGCCCCGCCCGGAGCCCACACTCTGCCCTGGCTTCTGGAAACTTCCAGAAGCCCCCAAACTGCGTCTTCTCCCCTTTCCCTGCCGAGCCAGCTGCTGGAGTTTGGAGCTCAAAATGCATTTTGAATTTGGAGGAAAAACTGAGTAGTCATTGAATACAGTTAAAGGCTTTTATTGGTGGCTCAGATCTCCTAAAAAAAAAAAAGAGAGCGAGAGAGAGAGAATTCTTTTATTTATTTATTTTTTGATGATTTAATTGGAGATAAGAGTCTCTTGGACTTTCCTGCCTGGGCCTGGGCTGGCTTTGAACCATGATCCTCAGATCTCAGCCTCCTGAGTAGCGGGATGCCAGGCAGGCGGGAGCCAGCACCAGCTGTGTGCTCAGTTTTTGGTTTGGTTTGGATTTGGGTGCTGCATTGGCTCACAGTCAGCCTGGGGTGACCTCAAGCTGCGATCCTTGGCAGAGAACAAGACCTTGGCACCCCACGGTGTTGGCTGAAATGTGATCACCCCTCGCTGGCAGCGAGAACTTGTTAAAGCCAGCACCCGCACCCCACAATCACCCCGCAGCACCCCAACTCCCAAACCACAGCACCCCAGACATGGCTTGGGTGTAGTGACAAAGGCCGCCGCCAGAGGGCGCCAGGTGACAGTCCTGTGCTCTCAGAACCTTCCGGAACATATCCCAAGCCTGGCAAAGAGAGGCACAACATCCTACAAGAATTGGTGTTCCAGCCGAGTGCCAGCTAGCTCGCGCGCTTGCTTCCTCCCTCCCCCTCCTCTGTCTCTCAGTCTTTCTTTCCAGTCCTGGGATTTGAACTCTGGGCCTGGGCACTGTCCCTAAGCTTCTCTTGCTCAAGGCAAGCGCTCCATCGCTTGAGCCACAGCACCTCTGCTGGCTTTTTCTGAGTAGTTCATTGGGGATAAGAGTCTCGTGGACTTTCCTGCCTAGGCTGGCTTTGAACCGTGAGCCTCCGATCTCAGCCTCCTGAGTAGCTGGGATGACAGGCGCCCAGCTGATCTTGCTTTTGGTTATTGTTGTTTTGAGCCAGAGTCTCACCATATCACCTCCTCTGGCCTCCAACTTGGCATCCTCCTGCCTCAGCCTCCCAAGGGCTGGGATTCCAGGTGCACCCAGGAGGGAGGGAGAGAGGCCAGGGAGGAGAATCCAAGGTCCTGGGTGTCAGGACGTGCGGGGATTCCGTGGAGGTCTGGGGGGCGCGGTTTGTGTGACACCTAACAAGGCTTCCCTTTTCCTTAGAGAAGAGCACGCTGTACACGGAGCTCCTGGCGCGCCTCCTTTTCTTCTCCAAGTCCCACCCCGCGCTGGTGGGGCAGCTGTGCCAGCAGGCCCAGAGCTGGCTCCGTGCGTGCCCGCACCCCGTGCTGGTGCCTCTGGCCGGCTTCTTGCAGCCCCCTGGAGGCCCCCTGCAGGCCACCCTCACCGGGTGCCACAAGGGTGAGTGGCCCCTACGCTCATGGGGGCGGGGGGGGGGCTGTGCTGGGAGAAGGTCCTGGTCTCTGCCTCCCGGGGCAGATGCTGCCCCTCCGCCCCACCGATGGGCACAGGGGAGGGGACCTGGGCACTGTCCCTGAGCTTTGGCACTCTACCATTTGAGCCACAGCTCCATTGCTGGCTTTTTGGTGGTTCATGGGAGATCAGAGTCTCACGGCCTTTCCTGCCCAGGCTGGCTTTGAACTGTGATCCTCAGATCGCAGCCTCCTCAGTAGCTGGGGTGGCAGGCGGGAGCCACTGGCGCCCGGCAACAATGCCTTTGGCGACTGTATTAAAGTAAAACCGGTGCGCTTTGGTTTTGCCGTGGGACCTCAAGCAGAGGTTGATGAGTGGTTCAAGCTGGTTTGAGCTGGTTCGGGCTGCTGGGAGGGAGACGGGCGGAGCCTGTGGCCTCTGCTCCTCCCACTCCTGCTCCGGCTGTCCAGCAGACACTGCAGCCTCCTCCTCCTCCAGTTCTTGTCTGGTGGATGGGAGAGGTGACATCCACAGATAAGAATTTGTCCCATCATGCCGGGCTCAAGTGACAAAGCGCTAGCCTTGAGCACAAAAGCTCAGAGACGGTGCCCAGGAGCTGGGCACCAGCACAAAAAAAGAACAATAATAACAACAGCTTAAACAGAGCAGGTGCCAGTGGCTCACGCTGCCTATAATCAGATGGCTCAAGCGGCAGAACGCCAGCTTTGGGCAAAAAAGCGAAGGGGCAGCACCACCACCTAGCAAGCAAAAACCAAAACGAACCTCAGCAGAAGAGGGGCTGAACCAAGCCGGCCAGCACAGGAGAGCGCACCCCATGCAAATGAGGTGTAAGGAGTCAGCCAATCAGAGAAGAGCTGTGGCTGCAGTCCTCCATCAGGTCCCTCCCCTCCCCAGCCTTGCGCCAGGGTCACTAGCAGAAGAAAGGAACTGGGGATGGAAAATGCAAAAACCGGGGTGTGCGTGTGGAGGCCCCGTCCTGTCCTGGGGGCAGGGGGAGTGAGGCAATTCTCTTTGGGAGCTGCTGTCCTGGGGCCCACACTCAGAGTCTCCCCACTTTACTATTGAACTGTGCAATTTACCCTACCTAGCCAGCACTGCCACGGGCTGCCAGCTTCTTGCTTTCTTCCTCCCTCCCTCTCTCCCTCCCTCCCTCCCTCCCTCTCTCCCTCCCTTCCTTCCTTTCTTTCCTTTCCTTTTTGTGCAGGACCAGGGGCTTGAACTTAGGGCCTGGGGCTTTGTTCTGAGAGTGGTTTTTGTGCAGGGTGGGCGCTCTGCTCTCCCGAGTCGCAGCTCCATTTCCTTTCTTTTTGCTGGTTAATTGGAGATGTAAGAGCCTCGTCACTTCCCCAGGGATGGCTTGCCACTGTGATCCTCCGGATCTCAGCTTCCCGAGAGTGGCTGGGATTACAGGCGTGAGCCACCGGCCAGGTTAGGGACTTTGCTGCACGACCGGTGTCTTGTTGGTCTGAGCCAGTGTGTCTGGCCTGCGAGCTCGGCCTGGCTCTCTAAGCCAGGTCCCTGTTGGGAAGCTTTCTCCCCACTCTGGGTTCAGAAAAAAAAGTGACAAGACCCCAATGTTAGGCCTGAGAAGAAAAACACGGAGGTCCTACCCCGCCTCCCACGTCTCCTCCATGAGGCCTTGACTCCTCCAGGTCGGCAGTGGCCCTGACTTTACAGCCAGCCGCTCCCTGAGTGGGGAAACTGAGGCACGGAACAGACACTCCTTGCTAGTGCCAGGCAGGAGTTATATGTGCCCAAAATATAGGGTGTCCATCCATCTCCTCGGGGGTCTGCCAAAATGTGTCAGCGGACAGCTTTTCGGGGGGGGTGGGCAGCACTAAGGTGGGGGTGCGGTGGTTGTTCCTTGAGTGTGGGGGGGCACCCCGGATTCCTGGCCTCCCCAGCCACAGAAGGCCAGGCCTTGGGGAGGACACCCCGGCAGTGGGGGCTGGGGGACTGTGCTGCAGCCCGCGCCTCGATACAAAATGTCAGCTTGTGGCGGGGGAGGGGGCGGGGGGGGCTGGAGGGAGGGAGCATGACTTGGCAGAATTATTTTTCTGAAGGGATCTGCGCATGTGCCAGGCTGCCATCCCATAATGCCCGTGGCCGGGTGCCTAGCAACCCCTAGGCCCGCCAGGCCTTCCCTTCAGCCAGGGATTTGAAGAAAGGGGCTGTTGGGCTTGGCGGGAAGTCTCGTCCCTTCCCCACCACCGCACGTGACCCCGAGTCACCATGGGGGAGGGGGGCTGGGGTCCCGAGTGCCCCCCGCCGTGGCGGTCACTGGGGCCACCATGATGGCTGCGCCTGGCGGGGGTGGGCTCACGTGGCGGGCTGGGCCGGATCCAGGGGTGCTGAGGACCCAGCGCCCTGTGTCTGCTCGCAGCAGGGCGGCGTGGCTCCCCACTTGGACTTTAAATCTCACAGCCAAGCCCCTGTGAGCTCATCACAATCGATAGGAAAGTCCCTGCGACTCTCCTCTCTGATGAACCAGCCAAAAGCTGGACGTGGAGCTGTGGCTCAAGTGGTAGAGCACGCACCTTGAGGGACGGTGCCCAGGGCCCTGAGTTCAAGATCCAGGATGGGTACAGACACAGAAGGCGGGCTGGAACTCCCCCCCCCCCGCTGCTGCCCGCCGCGTGGCTGGCCTCGAACTCACGCCACCGGCGCTGAACCCCGGGCAGTCATGTGTCTCCGTGGGGCCCTAGGCATCACCGCCATGGCGTGGAGCCAGGAGCAGCGGCTGCTGGTGCTTGGCACGCACGACGGTGTGGTGGCCGTGTGGCAGGTGGAAGAGGAGCGCCCGGTCCACTTCCTCCCCGCACACTCAGGTGGGGCTCAGGACACGGGGGGCGGGGGGCTTCACTCCTGGCTCATTCGGTGATTTGAGAGAGAGAGCTGAGCCGAGAACTACCACGGAAAACTCACAGCCCTTCGAAACACATCTCAGCCGGGCGCTGGTGCGCACACCTGTCACCCCAGCCACGTGGGAGGCCGGGTTTCTGAGCGGGCTGCGTGGGTGGCCGGCCCTCACCCGGCGTCCGCCGTGCCCCGCTGCAGGCGAGGTGTGGTGCGTGCGGGTGTTCGCGCAGGGCACCCGCGCGGTCTCTGCCTCCACGGACCACACGCTGCGCCTGTGGGGTCTGCTGTCCGGCCAGCAGCAGCTCAGCATCTGGGACGGAGGCTCAGCAAACTCCACCGAGCCCCAGACCCGGAGCCTCCACGTGGACGAAGCAAAGCAAGTCCTGTACTTGGCGTCGGGGTCAAAGGTAACGTGTGTGGGGTCCCTCGGGAAAGGGGGGGCGCAAAGAGCTCCCAGACGGAGGCGGGGTCTCCCGCCTGTCATCCCAGCTCCTCAGGAGGCTGAGATCGGAGGCCCGAGGTTCAAAGTCAGCCCCGGAGCAGGAAGTCAGGGAGACTCTCCTCTCCACCGAACCACTGCAAAAGTCAGAGGTGGCGCTGTGACTCAAGGGGCAGAGCGCCAGCGCCGAGCACACAAGCTCCTTCCAGACAACGCCCAGGCCCCGGTTCGAACCCCGGGACTGGCATTTGGAAGGGGTGAGTTTGGTGTGTGACATCTCCTCTTGGCTCCTGGCTAGGTCAGCGCGTGGGCGCTGGAGACGGCGGCGCTGCTGTTCCGTGTCCTGGGCGAGGCCTCGGACCCCTGGCTGTGCGCGGCCTGGCTGGCGGCCCCCTCGTGGCTGCTGACCGTGTCCCGGGCCTGCGTGGTCAGCGTGTGGAGCGCAGCCTCGGGCGCGCTCCAGGGCAAGCAGCGTCTGAGCAGCATCCGGGGAGAGACCCCCACGTGCGCCGCACCCCTCCACAAGCAGGGCACCGTGGTCGCTGGCTTTAGCAACGGCTCTGTCGCCCTGGTAAGCGGCGTTGTGACCCGGGATGTCAGTATTACCCCATCTCCAGAGCAGGTGCTGTAGCTCACGCCTGTAATCCAGACTCGGGAGCGATCAAGAGGATGGAGAGTTCTAGACCCAAGCTCCACCCCATGACCCACATCCCAACCACATTCCTTCTTCTGTTCCAACCTGGGCCTTTTCTTTTTCTTTTTTGTCGGTGCTGGGGTTTGAACTCAGGGCCTAGGCGCTGTCCCTGAGCTCTTTTGCTCAAGACTAGCACTCTACCACTTGAACCACAGTGCCATTTCCAGTTTTCTAGTGGTTCATTGGAGATAAGAGTCTCACGGACTTTCCTGCCCAGGCGGCTTTGAACCGTGATCCTCAGATCTCAGCCTCCTGAGTAGCCGGGATGACAGGCGGGAGCCACCAGCGCCTGGCTTCCAGCCTGTTTTTATCTCATGTGGAATGCCAGCACTCCTGGCACAGGCAGATAGTGAATTCTAGAACGTTCTCTGTCTTTGTGGTGGTGGGTTATATCCTCAGTGACAATAATGTGAACCAATGATGACAGCCTCCATGTTGGTAGGGAAATGTTTGTCCACACAGCTCAGCTTCCGGGTATCACTTTTCATTTAATAGGGGAAACTGAGGCATGGGGGCGCAGGGAAGGGGGAAAAGGATTTGTGCAGCTGGGGGTGGGGGTGGGGAATTAAACATTTGAGCTGTTCACCCTCAGCCCTGGCAAAATACTTAACAGCCAGCCTTGTCTCTGCCCAGATTTCCTCGAAGGGAGACAGATTGCTGGAGAAGCTTCCAGAAGCTGTGGGCTTGGTAGAGGTGTCGGAAGACGGATCTCTCCTGGCTGCAGGTGGCATGGAGGAGCACTGGGTGCTGGGGTGCCCGCCTGTGGCTTTGGGAAATTATCAGCTCCCTGCTTAGCTAGGGGTCCCCCCAAAATCTCCACAGCTGCAGGACAGACGTCATGTCCACAGCAGGGGAGGTCAGAGTCTCACGGACTTTCCTGCCCAGGCTGGCTTTGAACCGAGATCCTCAGATCTCAGCCTCCTGAGTAGCTGGGATGCCAGGCGTGAGCCGCTGGGCTGGGCTCATCTTTGGAATCTGAGCTAAACCGTAAACAGCTTACAATGTGCATAAACCTCAGTTTACCTCCAGGCTCCCGAGAAGTTTTGGGTGGGATCAGCTCACACCCTGGATGGATCTGAATTCCGGGAAGCCAGGGCTGGCCACGCCGAGCCTTTCCACATGCACACTTGCACACCGTCCCTCCCTCCCTTGATCCCTTCCTTCCGCCTGTGTTCACGGCTCACAATACCCAAAGCCCCCACCTTGTGAAGAAGAGAGTTTTTGTGTGTTTTCTTAAATTATTTTCTAACATTTAAATTACTTCTTAAGTTCGTTTTTAACTCCCTTTCTCCTGGCGTGGGAAGTCCCGCGCGGTGTGACCGGGTCCGTGCTGCTGCTGCAGGTTTCGGGAAATCTGTGCGGATCTTTCTGGCTGACGCCCAGGGTTTCCAGCGACTCCTGGCGACCGACCTGCGACACGAGGACGCAGTTGAGACAGTTGTTTTCGGTCCTAAGAATAACCTGATTGTCACTGCATCACGCGATGCCCTCATTCAGGTGAGGGTTGATCCAGGACCTCCATCCCCCCCTCCCCCCCCATCGCTGCACTGGAAGAAAAACAGATTCTTCAACATTCTTGGGCCTGATGGCACAAAAAGCCACAAAGCTGAGCTGGGGCCAGACAGCAGTGGGGCGGGAGAGTAGCTGGGATTACAGGCGTGAGCCACAGTGCCTGCCGCCCCTCTGGTCTGCATCCTCAGGTGTGGAGCCTCTCGGAACAGGGCGCGCTGCTGGGCCTCCTGGACGGTGTGGGGGCGCCACTGGGCGCGCTGGTCCGGGCAGGGGCGCTGGTGGTCGGGGCCTCGCGGTGGTCTTCCACCTTTAGGGCCTGGGATGTCAGCCGGGCCCGCCAGCGCGGGGCCTGCACCCCCTTCCCGGACCGCACGGGGCTCACGGCCGTGTCTCACAACGGAAGCTACGTCTACTTCCCCGGAGTCGGCGAGAAAAACCAAGTCACCATCTGGGACCTGGCGGAGGGTGGGTACCTGGTGCCCAGGGATGTCGGAATCCCATGCGGGGTGGGCACCCATCCCCGATGCTCGTCCACCCCAACTGAGGCTCGCATCCAACATCTAGACAGCCTGACCCGCACCAGGGTCCTGGGTCACCGCCCCTTGCTGGGACCGGACGCGGGTGGGCGGACCACACAACTCCGGGGTCTTTCAACGATCACTGCTATTGTTACTATTATTTTTGTTGGTGATGGGGCTCCAACTTGGGCCCTGGGGCGCTGTCCCTGAGCTTGAGCCACAGCGCCCCCTCGGGCTTTTTCTGTGTCTGTGGTGCTGAGGAGTGGAACCCAGGGCCTCATGCGTGTGAGGCGAGCGCTCCACCACTGAGCCACCTTCCCAGCCCCGAGATTCTCATCTCCAATTAATCACAAAAGCAGCAGGAAGTAGAGCTGTGGCTCAAAACCAAATTACGAGGAATCCAGTAAGCAATCGGAAGCTCAGAGGGGGTTGGGGCGTGTCCCTCCGGAGTGGGGCGCTGCACCCCAGCTCCCTGGGTACCCCCAAAGAACAAGTCCCGGGAGCAGGTGGCTCAGTGAAGCCGTGTCGTCTGTCTCGGGCTAGGTGAGGCGCGCGGCGCGCTGGACACGTCCAGTGAGGTCCGGTGTCTGGAGGTGGCCGAGCAAACCAAGCTCCTGTTCGCGGGGCTGGTTTCGGGGGCCGTGCTGGTGTTCCCCCTCGACTCCACGCAGGATGTCCTGTGTATCCCGCCCCCCGAGGCCCGGAAGGCCGTCAACTGCATGGCGCTGAGCAAGGACGAGGAGCGGCTGGCCGTGGCCTACGACAACATGGTCCTGGTGCTGGGCGTCGGGCCCGGGGACCCCTGCCCGGTCGTCGATGGCCCCACGTTCACCTTCTACACCCAGCTCCCCGACACCATCACCACCGTGGCCGTGCTGGCCGACTGCTGCGTGGCCTACGGCATGACCCACGGCGGCCTCTTCCTGTACGAGTGTGCCAGTTCCAAGCTGTGCCCGCTGGAGGCCCACGCCAGTAGAGTCTCGTGCGTGGAGGTCAGCCACGGGGGGCAGCTGGCGGTCAGCGGCTCCGAGGAAGGCCTGCTGTGTCTGTGGGACTTGGGCACCTGCCAGTGCAAAGTGGAGATGAGTTACATGGTACGTGGACCACCGCGCCCCAGTCCTGAGAACGCGGGGTTACGTCGGCGGGGAACAACCCAACAGCTGGTGCTTGATTTCATGTTTAGTCAGTTATAGGGCTTGAACTCAGGGCCTGGCACTATCTCTGAGCTCTGTTTTGCTCAAGGCTAGTGCTCTACCACTTGGAGCCGCAGTTCCATTTCTGGTTTCCTGGTGGTACCGGATTGGAGATAAGAGCCTCCCAGACCTTCCTGCTCAGGCTGGCTTGGAACTGTGATCTTCAGCTGTCAGCCTCCTGAGTCGCTGGGATTACAAGTGTGAGTGGCTGGCACCAGGCCCAGTTGGTGCATTTTAAATACCAGAATAGGGACGTAAGATAAGGTAAGAGATACACTGACCTATGTTCCAGGGGACAGAGGAAATCAATCAGCTGAGCATGGTGGCATCCGAGTGTAATCCCAGCAAGGATCATGAATTCTAGTCTAGCCAATCACAGAGCCAGACCCCGTCTAAGACCTAAAGAGGAAAAACAATGCTATTATTTTTAATCTACTTCTGGGTCCTGGGTCTCCTTTGGCCAGTGTTTCTGGGGGTGCAGTCGGGATGTTGGGGTGTGTTCTCCACAGGGCTCCATCATCAGGGGTGTCCAGTGCGTGTGCTTCTCCCAAGATGACAAGTACGTGTTCTCAGCCTGGAGGGACGGCTCAGTCCTCGTGTGGAGAGCACTGGATGGTGAGTCCACGGTCTTCCACCGTGTTCTTTCTTCACTCGCTGGTCTTGGAGGATGCAGCTGGGTGGCTTCTAGCAGGGATTACAGGTATGGGCCACCGTGCCCGGCTGCTGGCCTTCTCATGAGTCTTCTGCGGGTCACTCCACAGGCTCTCTGCTGACAGTCCAGTTCGTCCACGCCGTGGTGAACAGGATCATCCCCACGGCCAACGGTTTCCTGGCTCCCACCAGGCAGGGCCGGCTCATCCGGGTGCGGTTCCAGTGCCCAGCAGCCAGCGCCTCGCCGCAGGATGCCCTGCAGAACTTCCAGAAGGCCGTGTGGATGGTGAAGACCAGGAGGAGAGAAGAGCTGGCGGCCGGTGCGGGATCAGCCCAGGACCCCAGCTCAGAGGCCCCGGAGAAGGAAACAAACCCCAACAAGCGCTCACAAGTGTGCCTGCTGCTGTAGCCAGCGCCCCCCTCCACTTCCGGCTCTCTGAACGGTTTATCGGAGATAAGAGTCTCATGGACTTTCCTGCCCTGGTTGGCTTTGAACCATGATCATCAGATCTCAGCCTCCTGAGTAGCTAGGATAACAGGCGTGAGCCACTGGCGCCTGCACTGTGGTCTTTTGTCTTTCTGCGTCTGGCTCCTTTTACTTAAGAAAGTGCCTTCTAGTTCCTTCCATTGTGCTATACATGACAGGATTTCATTCTTTTTAATAGCTGAATAATATTCCATCTCATGCACACCTGCACTTTCTTTTCTCCATGCATCCATGGCTTAGTACTTAGCCTGATCTTTTTTTTTTGGGGGGGGGTTATGGGGCTTGAATTCAGGGCCTGAGCACTGTTCCTGAGCTTCTTTTGTTCAAGGCTAGCACTCTACCACTGGAGCCACAGCACCATTTCTGGCACTTTCTGCTTATGTGGTGCTGAGGAATCGAACCCAGGGCTTTAAACATTCTACCACTGAGCCACCTTCCCAGCCCCAAAGCAGTGATTTTCAAAGTGCTGCAACCTTTAACTTTAGGATTCTTGGCTTGTCTCCATTTGATCAGAAGCCCCTGGGGGGGAAAACAAGTTTGTGGTTATCTCTTCTCTGGGAATCAGAAAAGCTGTTGAGAATGTTGGCCTTGGTCTCCTCCACAGCTTTGGGGCAGGGTCACACTGAGGCAGCTTTGGTGCCTTGGGACTTTGGGGATGTTGTATATGGGGCCTACACCCACACAGACCCTGGAGACAGACCTTTACTAATAAAACGCTCTTCCAAATGTGTGTGTGTGTGTGTGTGTGTGTGTGTGCTGGGATTTGAACTCAGGGGGGCAGCTGCTGTCCCTCAGCTTTTTCCACCCAAGGCCCATTTGAGCTAGTGCTCCACCTCTGCCTTTTTTTTTGGGGGGGGTGGGTCCGGTTGTGGGACCTGAACTCGGGGCCTGGGCGCTGTCCCTTAGCTCTTCAGCTCAAGGTGAGTGCTCTACCACTTGAGCCACAGCGCCACTTCCGGCTTTTTTCTCTTTTTGCTTATGGTAAGTGCTCTACCACTGAGCCACCTTCCCAGCCCCTCCACCTCTGCCTTTTTTTTAGTGAATGGTAAACCCGGTGGCTAAGGGAACTTTCAAGCTGGGTCTGGCTTGGCAAAGAACAATGATCCTCAGATCTCTGCCTCGAGAAAATGGGATTATAGGTGGGAGGCACGTGCGTCTGGCTGTCAGAAGACTTTCTTTTGAGTGTGAGCACTAGCTCCTGTGCTCCTATCTGCAGACCCTTCCATTTAGGGTCTGGGTGTTGTCCCTGAGCTGCTTTGGCTCCAGGCTGGTGCTCTATTACTTGAGCCACGGCTCCACTTTAGGCTTTTTTAGGAGGTAGTTTATTGGAGATAGATGTTAGTGTCAGGGCTGCGAGGGTGACTCCGCGGTAGAGTGCTCACTTTGCATGCCTGAGGCCCTGGGTTCGACTCCTCGGCCCCACATAAGCAGAAAAAGCCGGAAGTGGCGCTGTGGCTCAAGTGGTAGAGCGCTTGCCTTGCTTGCCTGAGGCCCTGGGTTCGACTCCTCAGCACCACATAAGCAGAAAAAGCCGGAAGTGGCGCTGTGGCTCAGGTGGTGGAGCGCTCGCCTTGAGCTGCAGAGCTGAGGGACAGCGCCCAGGCCCCGAGTTCAAGACCCAGGCCTGGCAAATAAAGAGATCAGAGTCTCTCAGGCTTTTCTTCCCCGGGCCGGCTTCGAACCGCGATGCTCAGATCTGGGCCTCCCAGTGGGCCCGCGCCCGGCACCGAGTCCTCACCTGGAGGACTCTTCGGAGTTTCCCCCATTTTCTGCAGTTAACAACAGAAAAGGATCGCGCGATGCGGGGTGGGCGGCGGGCGTGGGCTCGCGGGGCTCAGCGCGCTCAGCCCGGCTCAGCCCCCGCGCCCTGGAGCTCG